TGTGACAAAAATGTTTTTCAAATAATTGAGATATGTGTATGAGTACCATTTGTCAAACATGAGTACCATGATGTTAAACAAAATAATCAGACTAGAGCAACCAAAATAAAATACTAATTGAGCATTCTATTATTCTTTAATGTTCTTTTTAGAAATTTGAGCATTACTATTCTGAATCCATTTGTAAGCTGACTGAGAGATCTTAAATTACTTATACTTTCCCAGTTCTCTCTGTGAAATGTGTTGACAGTTAAATGAGTTAATATATATAAAACACTTAGTACCATGCCTGTCACATAATAAGTGCTACATATTGTTAGCCAGTATTGTAACAGTATTGTTATTATTATTAATGAACCTATATTAAATGAGCTACTCAATGTAAGGCTTGTTGAGTATTCTGTATGCAGAATATTAACCACTCTATGTGGTTCTTTAAAGTCTCAAACAAAATCATTAAGAGATGTTTGTACGTGGATAATGTTGAGGTTTATTAGGTAAAAGGAAAAAAGAACTTCCCATTGAGACTGTTAACAATTCCGCCTCCTTTTGCTCACAGAAATCTGTGTTGTACACTGTTGTGGCTTATTTCCAATTTTTATCATGCTATTCCCTTATTCAAAATTTCTCCACAATCTGCACAATAAACTTCAATCATATAAATAAACAATAAATATTCAGTGATTATTAAATATCAGAGGCTAAAGATATAAACTGAACTAGGGTACAGCTTGACCACTGTGAAATACATTTACTGGAGGAAAATGAGAATACTGGCAGAACACGATAGAGATTATGACAATCAAAATGTATACAACATGCTATTGAGGTGAGAAGAGGGATAGCAAAATTCATCTTTGCAAGATTAGAGAGCTTCACTGAAGAAGAAATTTCAGGCTTCAAGGATTTCAAGTAGAAATTTAAAAATTTTCCTCTGGTCCTAGGTCTTCTCTGATTCCCTTAAGATTGGTCAACCTTAACAGCTTAGGCATTACTACCAACATAACCCACTTTCCAACTCCTATTGGACCCATCTCCTATTTCCTTGAAAAACCTGCTTTTGATCCCATCTCTAATTCCTCTTCTCATGAAACAATCCCTATGAAGCATCCTTCACTTGGGAAAACTGAACTCTTCTTTCTTTCTAAGAAAATGTGGTCTCATCTTCTCCATGAACCCTTTCCAACTTGATGCAGTCATATACTTCCTAGTGCACATAAAAGCATTTTAAACAAGCACTTTCAGATAGATACTGACACTATTTTGTTATATTATGCCAACAAAACCATTAGGTATCTTGAGGAGAAACTATTTCATAAACTTATTTGTTCTACAATATCTTGTAAAGTACAATGTAAGTGGTCAAAATATTTTCTGAATTCAATTATTTTATCAATGCCTTCTCTGGTTTATCTGACATGTAATAAATTCACTTCATGAAATTTTTAAAGTTCAAATTACTGGAGGAGAGAACATTCTTGCTTCTGTTGGTTAATTTACTAATAAAAATTGGTAGTATAATATGAAAAGTAAACCAGCTTGGTAAAATTTGTGAATGTGAAGAAGACATGAACTGTGGAATAAATTACAGATTTGGTTTGTAAGAAGCCTATGAATAAGGTACTTGTACTTGGAAATCAGCATATTATTCAGAGAAAGAATATATTTAGAGTACAGTTTGAAAATAAAATTAGAATAATTGAGTAGACTTTTTTATAAGGAAGTACAATACATACACACTGCTCAAGTAAAGGAAGAGACTTATACACATATATGAGCCCACATAAACATACATGCACAAATTAGATAACAGAAATTAAAGTTGGGGAAAAAAATCTCATACCACTAACAATCACATTCTCAAATTCAGCACTTCTTTTTTCTATTCTTCTTTCCTATGTTTTCTTACTATAGATATTTCTCATACTGTTCCGCTATGTCCTGTTTTACTTAATTATCTTCTTTAACCCCTTTCAGTCTAATTAAAAACTATACATACACATGCATGTGCATACACAAACATACCAACTGTTTCCTACACTTTGTATATAAAGTGTGAAACCAACTATATAGAAGGTCCCTGATAGTGATACCTACAATTCACTAGATAAGTGAATGCTTTTCAAACTTTTGATCATAAACTCATAAAATAATCTTGAAAATATATGGATTTTGTGTCAGTTATCAATTTGTTGTCTCTTACCTCCAAATCCATCTTCCTTGCTTTCCCTGCTAACATAGAGCTGGGCCCTTACATTTTTTTTCTTTATTGCCTAGCATAAAGTTAAGCTTTTCCAGTAGAAGTTACAGGAGAGACATCTGGAGGAAAAGGTCTTTACTTGCTGGTTGAGTATGCCAACCTCCTCTACGGCCTGCAGTTTCTCTAGCATCTGAATCCTGAAGCATAGACAGCATCACTACTTCTAGCCTTTTTCAGGGTGGGTGGCTTCTCCAGTGCCAGGCTCTGACTGCGTACATAGCTTTTCCCATACCCACTTCTTTCAGGGTAGGCAACTTATCCAGCACCTGACTTCTGCAGAACCACTGCTCCTTTAGAGGTCATGATTACTATTCTTGCTATACCACAGTCTTTAGATTTTCTTTACGTATTAGCCAATCCTTCATTACCACAATAATCTGTTACCATTCATAATTCTTTATATTAAATTTTCCTGTTCAAATAATGGTGGATTCTGTAGCCTGATTGGGTTCTGCCTAAAACATGCTTTCTATATTCCCATATTTTAAATTAACAGCTAACACATCTTACCAAAATTTAAATAACTGTAAAATATAAATATTCTGTTATTTTGTGTACCTTATACATACCTAAAATAGATTTTTGTCAAAACCTTAAAGCTACATGCTTTGATTATTTAATGAATGAAATCCACCATATGAAGTAATTTGCAAAGCCAGTCCTTACTGACAAATTAATCAAAAATCAGATTTTTTTGGTCTAAAAAATATTAACTTCTTTTTTCTGTTTTAATAAACATGTTGATACACGTTCTTGTGGCAACCCTCTCACTTAAGTAGGCCAGATAAGCACACAATAAATAGACAAACAAATAGACAGGGAGGTAGACTGAGTCATGCCAGGGGCTTGCTAAGATAAAAGATTATCTGAATATTTTTCCAAATGCTTTATTGCTTTGCTCTCCTTCAGAGGTGATGCATCCCTAAATTGGAATTTTTTTCTTGATGCCCCACAGACTGTACTCTAGGACAATAAATCAATAATATCTGGGATAGGTGAGAGGTGTGACATCTTTTATGAAATGAAAGACAGCTGACCATGATAATAAGAAGCAACAGATTGCAGACTTTCTTAGACAATCAGTTTCAGGGACATGGTACTGTGGAAGCTGAGGATGATAAAACTGATGCCCTAAAAATTGTCCATGTCCGGTGACCCCTAGAAAGTCATGTGTACACCTAGGACACACATTCTCCAGTACGAAGACAGCTACACTGACCACTGAACTACTCTATCTCCAGTGAAAGACAGAGCAGAGAATTTTCCCCCAAGAAGACAAGAAATCAGGAACAGAGAGGCCAAGAATGAAATAAAGAAAAGGCAGGATAAAAAGAACTGAACCACATTCCTTAAAACTTTAGAAAATAAAAGCTTTTTTTAACAAGAATGCTAAAGGAGATCATAGCAATGTCGCAATGAATGTGAAACCTGATTCCTACAGTTACCTATGTTTGGATAAGGGTCTTGCCTTTAGTATCTGTGACTCAAAATCTCACATGAATTAAATCTTTCATGTACTCTGTTTCTTATTTAACAGAGTAAGTTTTCCTAAGATCTAGTGTTTTACTGAATCACATGATAGGGAAAGAAAAGGATCTTAAACAAAAAGCAAAAAGGATATGGCCAATTTTTACCATTTGGGATATTAACAAGTTTAACATGGCTCAACAGCTAACAAGTGTTATATCAACTATTATGACACAAGACAAAAGTGCTGAAATATAAAGACATGTGTTTTCTGAGGGGAAATGGGTGACAATCTGAAGGGTCAAGTTTTAACATGAAGAATAAATACATAAGAATTGAAAACAAATTCCCAACCAATACTAATGTATAATAAGATTTGTGCAATTTAAGAAAAGTTGCAAACTCTTAAAAATTTTCAAGGAAACTACTATTTCCTGTTATTCCTGGAAAATCTGTAAATGTTAGTGTTTTAAAAGAGAAACATTTATGGAGAGATATAAAGTGTGTTTTACATGCTACCAGTACCAGATTCATATTTATTCATTTCCCCTAAGAAATTCTGTAATTCTGTTTTAAATAAATGACATTTACTCTCAAATAAAGTTCCTCTCCATTTATTTCACTATATCAGCAACCCTATAAAAAATGGCTTTCAGGATTTTCTTCACCTAGATAAATTTCTGATGAAGAATTGTCCTGTTTGAATAAGACATACTTTCCAGAATACATTGTCTGAATAAACTATTTTGATCAAAAAGTCTATGCGTTGCCTGTTCTATTTGGATCTTTAAAATAAAGATTTTTGGATCAATGAAAAATACTGTTAACCTTATATAAATTACTTCTTTATGTATAAATATCTGCTATGCTTCTCATGTTACTTTCAATTCTTTGTAGAACTATGAATAGTCTACTTGGTGGATATTAGTAAATCTTAAAGTTACACATAAAGAATTTTCAATATGGTCCAAAAAATAACCCGACAGAAAAATCATTCCTATGCCCATCAAAATCTCTTTGATAACTCTGTTAAGCAAAATGGTTACTAAGATGAATAAGTTAATGCTGGGTATTTAAAAATTCCAAACAGTGCAAAATCATCCAGTCTAACACAATAGCAATTTACCATGAAAGTTATTTTTGTTTTAGGGAGGGTAAAAAAAAATAGAAAAAGAAGAAAATTCAGTAGTAGAAAGATTCCAGGGTGAACAAGCAATAACTAGTTTGTTGCCATCTGCGATATATCCATACTATAGGTTCTTAATATACTTACTTGAACAATGGAGTTCCACAAACAACACATTTATATATTCCAGGATCTTTGTGATGTGTATATTCTCCGTCAAAGGCACTAATAAACAATAAACAGATCATCAAAAAATTAAGCAAAGCTAGCAGTATTTTTATAGAACACATTTGCTTAAAATACACTTTTCTAATAAATCTTTCAAGAGCTTTTGGTACTAAAATGAGAACAGACCAAACATATGGAAATCTGAACAATAGCAATATATTTCAAATCTATATAATAAAAGGTGCCTATAACTACTCCAAACTAGTGCAGGTTAAATAAAAAAAAATTAAGCCATTTAGTTATGTAATACTTAGAAAAAATGTTTTCCTATTTAAAGTTTGTAGCTTGATTCAAAGAAAGAACATTATTACATAAGATTTCTGCTACTCTTAAGTATCCAAGAGTATTCCAGAAAATGCAGAAAGTTCCAAGACTTCAAGTAGAAAGTCTTATTTTTTAGTTTGAAAAGGAATATTGCAGCTTTAAGGGAATATTTTTCTAAGTTAACAATCTTAAAGGCTAGGAGGTCATTCAGCTAATACAAATCAGCTGTGCTAGCCCAACAAAAACTCTATGTGCTCTGCAGCTTGTTTTTATTATCCTTTCACCCTCTTTATGAGGTCCAATTTTTTTTATAAACAGCATTTTTAAGAATGACCTAATCTCTGGTTGTTTGTGTGCATTAAATCATTTTGCTGGTCATGTACACAACAGGACAGGCAGAACTCCTGAGCTGAGACTCAAGTCCACTACTAGCTCATTGTACAGTAAGAGCAAACTTTGTCAGAGATTCAACATTCAGTACATTCAGTAAACAGCAGGTACTGTGACAGGAAGTGCACGCTGTCTATTAACAAGGATCCCATGTGTGGTAAAGAGCTCTTAATAATTCATGAATGAAAACAAGAAGTTACATCATTAATAAATTTGAATCAGAGGTAAGTTGTAGCCATATGCCAAGCTCCATGGTATAAATTAGACAACAAAATCACCGGACCTTGGCAAGTTACTTTTGAGCTGGAATCAGCTGAGAGAGACTTTATTCACTAAAAATAGTCTTGGAAGTGAACAAACTCTTTTTTCAGGACTTAGGGCACACTTCCAAGGACCAAAGCCATGTGAGGGCAGTTATTGAAAATTTTTGACATTCCAACCACAAATGAGCCAATAAATACTTTCTCCACATGTGCTTCAAAAAGAAATTGGAGTGGGGTAGAAAGGAACTAAATTATGCTACCTTCTTTTTGCAGCCAAAACGTCTATACTTACAATGGCCACCTTCAAAATTTCAGCATGCTGGCATAGCTCCATGTCCCTCATGGTTTTGCTTACTGTGATGTCTTCCCCAAAAATGTACCTAAATAGCTATTACTTCCACACATTTTGTAGTAAACTAAAAACAGGCCCTTAACAAAAGCCTCGTGACTTTTCATAAGATAGAGTGTTCATTAAATGGAGGAAAGAACAAATAAAGCTTGGTCTTTACCTAAACAATGCTATTTTCAATCTTTTCAAAGATACTAATTTATATACTAATTTAAAGGATAGAATTCTTTATATTAATTGACAAAGAAGATGCAACAGTGACAGGAAAGAGAAAACAAGCTATTGCTTAATGACTTTGTATTACAGCTCACCTTACCTTTCGGTTCCTTTCTCCTGAGTGACATGGTACTGCAGGGGTGTTAGCCGCTTCCTCAGTTCCTGCTGAGAAAAGACCACCTTACAGTTCTTTTTATCCCTACATGACCCTGGAAAGAGAGAGGACATGGAAGAAGAGATCTTTTTAGCTTGAATCCTAAATAATTGCTTTGGCCAGCAGCCACAACACAGCTTCTACGGTCAGTTGTCAATGATCAGACTGGTCCCAAATGCACTAGAAAACCTTACCTGAACTGTAGCTGATTATTCCTCTAAGTTTAAAAGGAATGTTTTAGTGACAACATGCTATAGCCAAAGCTTCTATCAGGTAGAAATGAAAACTTAATGAACATGTGCAAGATGGTAGTACATCATTTATGTCCCCTAGTGCCCTGAAACTCCTTTTAAAAAAATGAATTAAAAAATATAAACCTATTTATAATTATTCACACTGTATATATAAGGTGATGGGCATATTAGTTAAATCATACTGTCCATGAAATAATTTTGCCACTTGTTGGAATAGCTTGAAACCATCATCATTCAGTTTCCAATATGGATGATCTCTTATTTATTTTTCTGTGACCTCTTAAGAATATATTATCTACAATTAAGAATTGCTCTTCTCTGTGATTCCATCAGACAATTCACTAGGTTCTGTGAGTCCTCAGAAATAAAATTTTCTTTAAAGACTGTGGCATTCCATGTTAAATAGGCAGCAAGAAACATTTTTCTACTACAGCAGAAGGCATTTTAAACTAATGCAGACTCAAAGAATTCAAAGAAAGAGTGAGAAAAATAGGAAGAAAGACAAAGGAAAAAATGAAAAGCAGTGATTTTATTTAAAGACCTATATTTTCTTTTTGCAAAGTATATCTAGGAAGATTTTACTGATTGTGTGCATTTTAATGGCAAAAGTAATTTTAACGTGACTAATAACAATGGCAGCTTTTATTTCAACTTATAAGACTGTAATAAAACATTCAGACAACACCTGTTTATATGTAGTATTTTATTTTACCTGAACAAATGATTGAAAAAGTATAACTCTGGGACAAGGCAACTATTACTCACTGCAGTAAAATTACTTTTCTTTGCCATCTATCATAGTGGTAAAGATGCTTGTACACTGTCCTAAATATAAAGATTTCTTACCACGTTTTGAAGTTTCCCAGTAAAACCTTGCTTAGTTTCCTGAATATTAAATTCAACTTCTTTTGAAATACAAAGAAATAAGATTTAGGAGTGGAAATGCTTTTTCCTTCTTTTATTTTTAACGTGCCTAATGTCATCAAATATGAAATCACTGACATTAAACTCAGAAAAAATTAGCTAACCAGTTACTTGGATTGTGGGACTAAAGAGGGTATCAGCTTCCAGAATCAGGGCCACCAAGTCAGAGTGGCTGATTCTCTCCCAGAAAATACAGAGACAGGAAAAGAGCAAATCAGAGCCAAACAGAAAGTTATGTCTTGGTGCAGGCCTGCAGGTATCAAACAGCACTTCTGCTGACCTTCCATAATGTACCCTGGCCCTTCTTGGCCTGGAAGGAGCCACAGGAGCAGCGGCTCAGTGTAAATGACACATGGGTCCTTCATCTCACTGGGCCCCACGATACACTAGGACTTATCTAACACCTACTATCTGCATTTTTTACAATTGTCTAAGGAGTAGATAGAAAAGTTTCCCTGGGAAATGTCTATCAGAACTGCTTCCAACAGCTTGAACAAAGTGTGGCTCTTTTTTAAACAACTGATTGTGATAGGTGAGTTTCTACTCAATTTACTATGGACTTCTTAAAAGTTATTTTGTTTTTATTTGTTGGAAATGTATTTTTGTTAATTTTGTCAAAAAATTCATTAATTACAAACCTAATGTGACCTATGTCTTGGTTAAAATTATTCTTTCCAATGGATGGATAATTAAAATCTGAACAATGAGAATAAAACAATTCTGTCCAAAATATTTTTGTTAATATATGTTCATTCATACAAAAAGACCAATTGTGTTCCCTAAGTTGACAGAACTAAGCTACCCATCTGTATGTCATTTAGTACAAGAGAAGCAACTGCAGGTTTAAATTACATGGTATTGGATTGCAATTTCCTAACATTGGATGCTTTTCTGCTTTTTTACCTTTAGTCATTTACTAAGGAGTGTTCATAAAAAGTAGCTTAAAGCACAGATGCTTGCAAATCGTTTAGGCAAAGATGTTTCTTTTTCATTCTCTCCCTCTCTCTCTCTCTCTCTCTCTCTCTCTTCTGAAGAAAAAGAATAAAACTGTTGGTCAGTATTGATGAACCATATCAAGTATTCACACAAAGAAAAAAGGTAAAATTGAAAACATCTGATTGAAGTAAATAATACAAACATAAAAGCTTTACTAGTGAATGAAGGATATTGAAGAGACTTTATTTCATAGATTAGAAATTACTTTTGATCTACACATTCTTAAAAACAGATTGTTTTCCACTATGAACCATCTCATTAACTGTGCTACAGAGATCCTATTTGAATGGCAAGCTTTGAATGAGTGCTGCTGTACACTTTTGTTAGTCTCAGTCTTATTTGGGAAGGGAATAAAGATTTCATTCCAGCTTTGTTTGTCTTTCAAGAACCACTAAAGCTGTATTCACACAAATTTTGTAGGAATGTGCCCTATGTCATAGCCTACAAATTATTTGGTTTTGGTGCACTTAAAGGTCATCTTCCAAATTAGCAAAATTTTCTTACATCCTGCCTTTTCACCTTAAATACAAATATTGTATCCTAACTGTAAGTGAGGTTTGTTCTCTAAGAAATGCTAGTGATTATTTAAAGTTGTCAAACTTTATACAGTTTTATTCTTTGGTCATACTTTGTTCTCAAAATAATTAACTTTTAAAGAGCACTTAACAGCAAAAGGAAGTACATATATGCTAGAAACTACTATTGTGATTTTATATTTAAAAACTCAGTAAGTTAGATTTTAATAAATGTCTTGCCACATAGTTTAATAATAATATATGTCTTGGAAATTGAAAGCTATATTATTACATTAGCTCTCCTGACATAACCAAAATTTGGCACAAAATAAACATAAAAAAGCCTTACTTTTATCTCTGATCTCTCTATCAGACTCACTTTCTAAAGTCATATGGTGCCACTGTTAATTTTGATATCATTTCATTTTGAAATTCTAGAGTAATTCATTGGATGGTTTCCTTTTACTATCTTTACTTATGTTCTGTAATTTCCTTATTTCACAAGGTAATTTAACAGTATTATATGTCATCTGTTCGATTACTTCTAAACTGGCTTAGCAATATGTTAGAGAAAGATGATTCCCTTTATTTAAATGTTTATTAGTGTATTTTTAAGACACAAGTGAATGAGCGTGCATGCACATGCAACACAAGAATATTTGAGGACATAATATTGTCCCTTTGGTGTCTATTCAGAACCTATACCCTATAGAATAACTTTGGTATAGCTCAGATCTATCTTGAACTCTCTCCAAAGCTATTTGTATGCTGAAATATGCCCTCTCTCATTTCATATCGAGGCTTGTTCCATGCTCTTTCCTAAAAGCAGAACTGTTCTGAAACTTCACTGGAAAGCTAGTAGAAATAAACTTACATCATGAGTTCACTTTCTGTTTCTGCCTGCTTTCCAACCTCGGGGACTTAGATAAGTCAACTGCTTTATGTGCTGCCATCCTTACAAGTTTGGTGTAAGGACAGCATCATTGAGCACTTATCAAATACTGAAGAAATGCAGTATCACACTGCCATTCTGATTACACTAGATTTTAAAGTTTTAAAACTGTTTTTTTTTTTTTTTTTTTTGTATCAGTGATCAAACTCAGGTCCTTGTGCTTAAGAAGCAGGTGGCGGAACCAATGAACTAAATCCCTGGCCCCTAAAGCTGAATTTTGAAAAGTACTCAAGTCAGGTATGTGGTGTGCTTCAATGTTCTATTGGTTAATTATTTTTCTATAGTAATTCCCTCAGACTAGTATTTTTCTCACACAGTATCTTCAAAAAATGGTAAAGTTGGGAGTAAAGGACAAAAATAAAATTAAAATTTGAGTTCTGATATGTGCTAAGAACATATTTAGGTATATAATTCTAGAAGGTAGCAGTCACGCCTATTTTACAGATACAGAAACTTGAGACTCACAGTGCTTATAACATAACTATCTAAATACACACACCAACTCAAACCCAAAGCAGTTGGCTGCAAAGCCCATAATCATTATATTCTCTCAGGAAAAAAAAAATATGGTACAACTCTTGTTTCTTTTCAAATTATGTAATAACTGTCAGCTTTAAAGACTATGACCAATAACAAGATAATAGGCGGGAAAGTAATAATCACTGTAGTACATCCAGGAAAGTAAATACTTTTGTCCATTAGCCAATGTCTGTTTCCCCTATATTCATTCCTTCCACTAAGGGTCAGAGACAAGGTTCATGCGGGATTCTCACAAAGTCTATAAAATGTTGAAAGGCTTTTTAACTTCCTGTTAAGAAGTAAATCAGATCTGTTACCTAAATGCTTAGAGAATTTTTAAGTCATAAATTTTATATTTCAGTGTTAAAAAATTCAAAACAAAACAAAACCTAAAGATCCTACAACTTTAACTTTGAATCTAGGATCAGAAAAAATAAAACTTAAATATTTCCTCAGCTAATAAATGAATAAGAGATAAAAATATCTGCTGTAGCTTTGAGTTTACTAGGTTAAAACAGTAAATTTAAAATTGAAATATTTGGCTGCTACATATAAAGATGGTATAAAATTCAAGTATGCTTTAAAGTATGCTACTTTTCACTACAAATTTTAATTTTGAGTTATTTATATTAGAAAACTGAATAGGGTTTTAGTTTTAACCTATAAATGAGTGAGATTTACAAGTGAGAATTTATAAGTCTAATATAGTTTATTTTTAAGGTAAAGTTAAAGTATGCATCATAAACCATTTTTTGTATTTGTCTGCATTGTAATAATTCAATAAAGGCTTTTTTAAAAAACTACAAAACAGAGGGTGGGAGAAAAATTTCTTATCTATAGAAGGATATCCAATTCTTCTAAATTTTCTCTCAGAGTAGAATAGGAAAAATATTCC